GGTTAGGGTTCTAGGAGAATAGGTTACGGTTCCAGTGGATTAATTTCAATTTGTACAAAATAGATATATAATGTTATTTTGTAATTACACTTTTAGTTTTAAATTTGTTTACCTATACGATTTAATTTTTAAATTATTAATTTTAGTTTTTATTTTATTACTCTTTTAATTTGGTAGATGTCTCGCCTTATATCTACCCGGAGGGCTGTGAGCAGTGGGTCCCCGGCACCTCTCCACCATCTCATATTGCAATGAGCGCTGTCAGCGACATTGGACCCTCCCGTGGTTGCGTCGACACAAGCCGGCATCATCCATGTCTTTGGTGGCGCTTCCACCTACTTCACGTCATACTTACTGGCGTGCTTGGACGCCCGACACTGCATCCGCATCCGCATCCGATACCGACCACCCAAGTAAAATAACAAAATCCATTTACTACTTAGCTAAATGAAATGTAGTTATTTGCTACTTTAACCCAAAACATGGAGAAGAAAAATCTAAACCTAGCTAAATGACTAGTTAAATATATTTACAAAACTTGATCTTTATCTTTAAAAAGATGAGTTTTAGATTATAACCTTGTGTAAGATTTAAATCCAACTTTTGTCCCTTAAAAAATTGTTCACAATGTTGTTTGCATGTGCTTAATTGTTTATTATTGTTTGTAGGATCTTCACTGAGACCTTGGATGCGACCCTCGGGCGGAGGTTGGGTAAGTAATGTCGGGGGATGAGGCATGCTCATCAGCGAGCTACTGAGGTCTCATCGTCATTGCAACCACAGAGCCCCAGCATCACTAAACTGACATATGAGGTGGCCGACCTGAGGAGTAAGCTCGCATTGATTGTTAAGTCCCTCAACTCGAATGGCATTTGTCTCCCACTCGGTGTTGCGGTCCCCAACACCTCCGACCACAGAACCCATCGACCATCATCCTCCCTAGCACATCGACTCGCAGCTCGTCCAACACCTCAACTCGCACCCTGAACCATAGACGACCCTACAGACCACCCCATTTAATGACCAAATAAATTATAGGTTTCTTTTTTCTTAGTTTTAAACTTTTTACTAGTACGTACATTTTTATTTATAAAATAAATTAACAAAAAAAAAATGATCCTTTTGCGACGACATGTTTGTCGCATAAAGTAATATCGACAATTTCTTTTTTTGTTTTTAAGTTAAAATTAATTAAAATTTGACATCACTCTACGAATTATTGGTCGTGTAAAGTTTTTGTGAACTAGTGTCCTATTTCAAGTATTCGTCACACAAACTTATTGGCCACCGGAACCAACCATCCCATGTATTGTATCCTGTCCAGCTTACTTTGTTGCATCAGCTTACGTGTGACAAACTACATTCATTCCTTTAAATTCTGTTCAACAACGTCTTTGTCGTCGCGCATGTTCATTCTTGTGCGACAAAATTGTTGTTCTCATCATGCAAAGTCTATTTTCATGACCCTTGCGCGACGAACTTTTGGTCACATAAACTCTAATGCGATGTTATGACGCTTTACACGACGAATTGTCCTTCGTCGCAGGAAAGTGTTAAATGTAGTAGTGTGGCTGCCTAGGGCTCGACTTAGGGAGGGCTTGAAAAAAAAATCAAGATAAAAAGGGTTTAGCCTATTCATCTCTCTCCCTCTTTTTTAGTGTAAATAATATTATTTGTTAAAAAATAAAAGGTTTGCGTTTCATATAAATGAACCCTGCAATTCCCTCTCTATCTATTTGAAATCTATCTCTCTATGCGATTGTAAGTGGTGGTAATCACAGAATCTTTGAATTTTATATTTTATTTATGTAATTGTACGTATAGAACGTTATATAAAGGTTTACATGTAGTAAGAACTGTCTTCATCCTTCTTTTGTCGGCTTGTTTGAGTTTGATGGATTAGCATAGGCTATTATGTTTGTTTAATTATTTGGGTTTTCTTTCGTAGTTTCGAATTTAGATTTAACACATTCGAGGTAGGGTTTTTTAGGTTTGTTATAAATATAGCTTGTAGTTAGTATGATAAACAAGATAGTCACAATATAACCTTTAGTTTATGCAGTTGTCATGCCAATATTTCTTTGCGTTGATACAATTATTTTTATGTGGTTGGTTTGTTCTTCGATTTGTCGCCAAATTTGTTATTCTTAGCGTATATTTGATAGTTTTATATGGAGTAGAACTTTTTCTTCATCCTTTTTTTGTCGGCTTGTTTGAGTTTGATGGATTAGCATAGGTTATTATGTTTATTTAATTATATGGGTTTTGCTTGTTAGTTTAGAATTTGAGTCTAATTTATTTTTTTTCGAGTTAGGCTTCTTAGGTTTTGTTCTTTGAAAATATGGCTTGTAGTTTAGTATGATAAACAAGTTAGTCACAATGTAGCATTTTAGATTATATAGTCATCGTGCAAATATTTCTCTGCATTAATACAATTATTCTTTTGTGATCGGTTTGTTGTTTGATTTGTCGTCCAGTTTGTTATCCTTAAACATTTTTTTGTTCTTCGTACTCTGGTTTTCAATTATCAACCATTGGATTCTTTTATATGAATGTTCAGGAAACCAAAATTGTAAGACTTCATGAATTGGAATGTTACGAAATAGTAGATTTTGACATAGAATTATATAGCGAATTGACATTGGAGGATTACATATATATTGTAATTTGTAGTTAGTTATACATATAATTGGAGGACTTTGAAAACTCAAGGGCCCCTTTATAGTGACTCCCTCAGGTCCAATCTCAGAATGTGGATGGTAAATTAGGTTTAAGATAATAGAGTATCCACACTCAAAATTACGTGTTTAGCTATCTTGACGATGTGATACATTTAATTGAACTTGTTGAAATGCAATGGGAGAATTTTGGCTTTTTAATTTTTGTTTCCTTGATAACGAAGAGCAACTTAATTTGTCTTGATATGTTATAGGGGCATATAAACATAAATATCAGGCTGGCGAATATAGCAAAAACAGCTTGCCATTACCATTGCCTTGAAATTCAAGGCTCGAATGCTAATTAAGTACGCGTATTCCATACACTCACTTACAAATTTCTAGTAGCAAAATTTATTCCGATTGCCAGTATATTTAGCGGTGACCTCAATACAGAAAATGTCAAAGACAAGGGTTATATGTACTATATATGTCATATTTTTTATGTGAGCTCAATTAGGTTTTTGAGAGTGAAGACAAAGTATTTGTTGTGCTTTCTTTAACCTTTGTGCTACTAATGACATATTATTTTGGTAATAGGCCCCGATGATGCATACATTTGGAAAGCGCCCTAAAGCTGCAGACTGCTAAGCTTTATTGATTTTACTAATATAGACCAAACCATGTTCCTTCCTACTAGCTAGACGGTACAGCTGGACAATAAAAAGACAGATTGGAAAGGAAAAAGTGTGAGTTGGAAATGAAAGTAGTCATCAACTGAGGTTTTATGGTTGATCATCATGCATGCAATACATGCTCTATTATTTTGAAAACCACAAATTGCTTTAAACTAGTTATCTTGCCAAACTATATTCTGCAACTAGGAAAATTAGAGTTGGTATTTTCATTTACATCTAGAAACTAAATTGTAGCTTCCTTAATTTTACCCAGATGTAGAGCAGCAATGCAGAAGACTAGAGGAGTGCAGTAGAGGTAGAATATTGTAATTTATTTGAGTTAGAGAGCCACCGACAATTATCTTCAAAGTTTGCCGTTCTTTTTTGTCAATGACAGAAGGTCTTCGTCAACAACAAAAATAATGAAAGGTTACAATTAAGACTCTTTTGCTTCTTTTGGTTGAACAAATACATGTTAGAAATAAAAAATCACGATATAGAAACCTGATTAATCTTTTATTAATATGCTTGATATAACATGTAATGATGTTGGATTAATTAATATGGTACAACCTATTGCCTAATTAACCTTCCAATGAAGGATAATTTATGGATTTTTAAGAGGTGCAAGTAGAGGCACATGCATGCTAGGTCTCATCCATAAAAGAGTTTAAGATAATAAACATGATTAAGATAGAGACGTTCTTTTAATGCATGAGAAGTGGTATTGTTGGTTGTAACTAAAGGTCCATTAGCTGCTGTGTGTGTTGCCTGAACTCAAATTTCTTGCGGTGCCCTAATTCGTCAATATTTTATTATTATATGTATGTTTCCCATGGAGCGCAGTAGAGGTTGAAAGACTCAAAGAGGGTGTAGACCATAAATGGCATTCTAATACTTTCATGTTAATTACGTTACTGAAGCAAATTGCAGACCTTTAATTGTATCAGCAACTGTTATAGTTATGCAAAAATGTCAAAAAGCTAGACAGAACAAATTTGACACATTTAGATTGGGGTACCTTAAATTCACTACGATTAATTTGATGATCTGTGAACTTATTTTCAAAAGATAAAGGAGATGTACATGCTAGAAGGTTACTGTAAAGACCAGGAATTTTGAAAGATGCATGTCATCATATCAAAACAACAACCATCAAGAATTTTGTAGATTTTAATTGTAGATGTAAAACAAAAACAAAGATAAAAACAAGAACAATACAAAGTAATTCGGTAGAAAAATTAATGACAAGATCATAGTGCAGCAGATAGGGGCAATAGACATATAGTAGGTAGAAAGTAACAAGAAATCGGTCATAATATTATCAAATCTTATGTTAAGCTATATATCATCATGCATGGTTTATAGTTTGTGCTAAATTAAATATAAGCAAAAAGTCGGTATATGGTATTGTTAATAAGCTGTACAAATTGCAATAATACTTAATAATCAAGTTAATTGTAACAAGGAAATTGTCTTCCCCTCCATTGTATTTGAAATAGAGACCTACCGATATTTATGTAACCAAACCTAGACAACTTAAGGCAAATACATATTTGTATTTACGATGAAATTCTTAAATACCTTTTTGTGCTAAAGAAAATAGTTGGCTAGCTGCTGGAGGAGTTTCTTGTTACTAATATATCCCTAGGTAGGTTAAAATAAATTAACCATGCCCAAGTCGAAGTTCCAAATCCACTTCATCGTTACTCCTCACACCCCTTCTGAATTCATCATCCTCCAACTGCAAGCTCAAATTCGTACCCCAAAGTTCTTGGTTCATACCCAAAGAGTGTGACCTTGACCCAACTGATGAATCGTCAAGGTCATAACCGTATGGGATTCTAGGGTTAGATCCAGTTGGCTGAAAATACATTCGGTAATTCATCTGATCCAAAACTGGGTAGTACCCAGAAACCCTCTGGCTTGAAAGTGGTGCGCTACTATATTGATGATGATGATGAGAAGTACTCATGGATATGTATTGATCCTCATTCGAGTAGTGATTTGCATTAAGTGATGATGTACCTGAGATGTGTTGCATCGGTTTGACTCGATCTTTCCTGTGGATGTTCATGTGACCTCCCAAGGCTTGAGCGTTGGTAAACCCCCTCTTGCAAAACGTGCATTCGTAGCTTCGTTTCACCGTTGTAGCACCTGAATTGTGATCATCTGATGTGACTTGATCTTCATCACTTGAGCTCGTCTCCGGGGTTCTTGGTCTCCAAGATTCCATGTCAAAACACCTTGTTCCCCAACTGAATTTCTTATGGTTTTCTTCACTTGGAATCACTAAGCCGAAGAATCAATAGAGAGATATAGGGTTGGTTGTATTATATGTAGGGAGGAAACCAATTTAAGTGTGAAATGTAGATGCAACTACAAGACACACTGGCATTGCTATAGATTGTGGCTTTATAATAAGCAGAACACAGTTTTGGCATTTGTTGAAAGACTTTTTCATCTAGCCGGCTAAGAAATGGTTCCATTTTAACTATTTTATTTATTTAATTTTGAATTCTTACCCATAATTTCTTTCTGCCCCTAATTTTGGGTTTGTTTCCAGTTGTTATTTGTCATCATCTCTATGTGTGAGTGATTATTTTCTGCAGACACTTCATGATGAGTAAGATAGCTAGGGATACTATTTGTTGGGAAATTGCAAAGAAATTATGATATTCTTCTAAGAATCACGTAGACAATTAAGCTGAGGCACAGGTATCTCATTCTCTTTAAGAAGATTCAAGCCCACTACAGTTTGACAAAGTCCACAAGTCGGTGGTCCAGAAATATATCCCTTGAATTGTCCCCTCCAGGATACAATAGCCCAAATGAATCCTTATGTGACTCAAATGTATTTGCACAAAAAGGAAGAGACTAAAACTCCACAACACGAACACCTTTCTTTGGCCAATATGTAAAAATGAAAAGATGAAGGAATGTAGAAAAAAAATGTTGTAGAACAAACTGGGTAGTGGGCTAATGAATAAAAAGGATGATGAAGAAAATGCTACTAATTACAGATTTATTATCGTGAAGAGGGTAATGAACACAAATTATAGATTTATTATAGTGAATCATTTTTAATATTATTTGTCATCATCTCTATTTGTATTTGTGATTATTTTCTGCATACACTTCATGATGAGTAAGATAGCTAGGGCTACTATTTGTTGAGAAAATTACAAGGAAATTATGATATTCTTCTAAGAATCACGTAGACAATAAGCTGAAACGCGGGTATCTCGTTCTCTTTAAGGAGATTCAAGCTCATTGCGATTTGACAAAGTCCATGAACCGGTGCATAAGTATATCTCTAGACCTGTTCCCCCATGATACAATAGGCCAAATGAATTGTTGTGTGACTCAAATGTATATGCACAAAAAGGAAGAGTCTAAAGCTCCACAACTCAAACACCTTTCTTGACAACAAGTAAAAATGAAAAGATGGAGGAGTGTAGAAAGTAATTGTAGTAGAAGAAACTGGGTAGTGGGATAATGAATAAAAAAAAATGATGGAGAAAATGCTACTAATTACAAATTTATTGTCACCCTTAGTGAATAGGGTAATGAACACAAATTAACAACCAAAAGAGTTATAAGAGTTACATAAGATGAATGGCTAATAAACTACATCTTAATTTCCACTAGCAACAAATAATGGCAATTATAATTAATTAATTTATTTATTATTTAAATGCCCCAGCATTCCCCCACTCATTTTTATATTAATTGAGAAGAAATAAAGAAAAATAATACTGGCCAAAGACGAATCATTATGCATCACAAAGTTATGACCCTGCATTGAACCTCTATTAGTTAAACAAGAATTCCTACACCAAAGTTGATAGTGGTCTCAGACTTGAACTACAACTGTTTAAGGGAAAATAAGAATTACTGCTCACACATAATAATCTAGGTGTTAATTTCTTTAATAGCTAGCATGTTACACCCTTGTGCTAATCCTGGTTTTTATGAGCGTATTTGAGAACAAACACCATTCTCATAAAAAGCGGCCCCACTGTCACACTCATATAGAAAAAATTTGTCAAGGATGCTCATATAATTATAAAAATTCACTCAAAATGAGCTACAGATTTTATTAAGAGTTTAAATAAATTCAACCTCCAAAAACCTAGTATAGGATAAATGCACTACACCATAGAGATGAGAAAAAAAAAAATAGTGCATCTCTTACGGTCATCATATGATTCATTTTTTCATTGAACCCAGTTCTTAAGATCTCTAATTATTGGGTTAGGTGTCCACATATATGGCTCATGAATGTATGGGCTATAGTCTCATCCCCTTCGATATACTCCAAACCTTTTCTCTTGCCAAGGCTTTGGTTAATGGATTTCCAAGATTATCATCAGATATAATATAATTCACAGTAATGGTACCATTGCTCAAGGAGATCACATAGCACTATGTTTTCTTCTTATAGGTTTGGATTTGCCGTTATAATAACGATTTTTCACCATGCTGATAGTAGCAGTGTTATCACAATGAATCAAAATAAATGGTATTGGTTTTTTCCAAAGTGGGATCTCATATAAAAAAATCTTTCAACAATTATGCTTCTTGAGTGGCTGATGTCAAAGCAATAAGTTCAAATCCCATGCTTGAATTAGCAATAATATTTTGTTTCTTTAATTTCCAACATAAAACACAACTACTTAATGTAAAAATATAACTAGTAGTAGAAAGAGATCACCTAATATATTGTTCCAATCAGCATTATTGAAACCATCAAATACTGCAGAATATTTTTTATGAAATAAATCAAATACTGCAGGATATTTTTTATGAAATGAACCATAATTCTTAGTGGTAAGTAAATATATCATTACTTTCTATGGCATGGCAATAGATTTGTATTTAACTATTGATTGCCGTTTATGCTATTTTGTAAATACGATCTTTTAGCGGATGTAGAAAAATGAACAATTATGGTAGTTGATATCACGTTCCGATGTTTAGTGTTAATTAAAATATGAGTAAATGTCATATAGTTTTTAGAGACTTTATAAATTCTGAGCAATATTTTCAGTAATAGTAGAAAATGGAACGTAATAACAATGATCCGAATCGTCCATCTTTTTGCATATGAAAGATTATGATTTAAAAAAAACAAAATTTGAAAAGAAAAAAAAAAGAAATTCAATGAGAAGGATGGAGCTTAAATGTAAACGACAATCAATAATTAAATTTAAATCTATGGTTTATGAGATTATAGTGGTGAATTTCGCAGTTGACCACTTCACAAAAGTTGTAAAGCATGTCATTACGAGCATTTGTAAAAAATATATATATATTATTTTTTTCACACTTCTACATTAAGTAAAAACTATTCAAAAACCTTACTACAACTTTTGGAGACAATATAACACTTGAAGACAATAGATCAAGCCAAAGTTCTAATACCATTTCACTTGAAGACAATATAACACTTGAAGAAAATTGAAGGGTTTTTTTTGTCAAAAAACACATGCATGCTTTGAGTCTCATTGACAAGGTTCTGATTTTTAAGAAAGGCTCTACAACCTTGAAAAAAAACTCCCTTATTTTGCATATCCTTCAACATTTGATATTTTGTAGTAATGTACTAATGTTTTTTTCATTAGACTCTTATTTTGGGTATGTAATACTTGAAAGACAAATGTGTTTTAGGTTTTGAAGTACTAATTTAGTATTACGTTTTTCTTTTGATTATTTCTTGGTGTAAAATATATTTTCTTTAACGGATAACGGGTCAGATCATATTACTGTTCATATTAACGGGTTGAGTTCGGGTTATGTCATATTACCCATTCATTTTAAAGGGTGTTACATGATACGATACATTAAGATATCAGGTGTGGATGCAAATTTCTTCCTCTTGTTATTGGACAAAATTGCACCTACAAAACAAATAACACCTTAGGTCAAGGCCAAGAGTCTCACGCACCCACTATGAATGGGGGGAGACTTTGGCCGAAGCACCTCCGATGCCAAAGTTAGAATTTAGAGAGAAAAGTGTTTGGAGAGTTTTTGCAAGAGTGTGGAACTAGCTTGTTAGAGAAAATAGGGTCATATATATAGGGAATGGAGGTGGTCGGCCCTTAGAGATTTTTTGTGTGAAAATGGGTGATTTAATTGGTAATTATTGGATTAATTAGGCAATTAATCCATTAATTAGCCAATTAATCTCCATTTATATGGAATAATTTGTAGTTTATGAAGTAATTACCTAAGATGAGGATGGATGAGATAATTTGGAATTTGTTACCTATTTTGGACACTCTTGGGTGATTGTCCACTGCTCGCGCGTAGGACAACCGATGTGTCTCAGGGGTGACTTTTTTTTTTTTTTTTTCCAAAAATCCACGTGTCGCCTTGTGATTATTTTAGGCTCCACAAATGCCCCCACACCTACTGGGCTGCTCGTAGGAAAGGGTAGCAGGTGTAGAGATCTTCTTGCTCTAGGAAACTTAGGATTGCTTCCTGTTTTAATGCAGATTCCCTTTTTAATATGAAATTAGATCCTTCTAGGAAAGGGAAATAAATTTCTCTCAAGGGCCGGCTACTACTTTAGGTTGCTCGGCTTGGCCAGAGCAAAGGGCAGCTTATGCGGCTGTGGTCGCAAATTGTGGTGCCGGGGCGCAATGCTAGGCGAGTCGCATGACTCATGTCCTTTGGGCTCTAAGACCTGACATGGGCTAGGCCGGCGATTGAGAGAGATGAGGAGGTCGAGGGCCTCCTGGGTTGCTGAAATGTTGGGCATGCAGGCTTCTTGCCTTTGGTCTAAGAGAAAAAATGAGGAAAAAGCCAATATGGGTTGAGTTCCCCTACCGAGTACCGTGAATATCGTTGGCTGCTTAGTTCTCTTCACTGGGAGAAATGTGGGTTGCTCTCTCTCGAGAAGGTAAAGAGGATCAAGTTGAATACTTTGGTTCGTTTGATCGTTATCATAGAGCCTACTATGAATGAAGGTGGAAAGAAAAGATCTTCCTCGTCTGCTCAAGAGATGCTGGTTAAGAAAAAACTGAAGACTTCCTCAGCTGCTCGTGAGGGTCCACCTGCTGTTGAGAGGCCTGTGATTGACATGACTTCTTCCAATGGGGAGAAAAATGAGGTTGCTAGATCTGAGCCTGAAGTGCCTGCTATGTCAAGAATGGCTAATTCGATTGTTGATAGTATTGCTCAGTGTATAGGTCTTGTCATGCCTCTACTGCCGAGGTTTATGCCAAGACA